CGTCAACTAATTGAACGGATCGACCAATTAAGCATGAGAATTGCGTGCTAGGAGATGGTTCTCTTTGGTGTTGACCTCCGTTGACCCAACAGGCGCCAATGAGATGGACCTCTGAGGAGGACCTTAAAGGAGGACAGTAACATTGGGGAAACCCAGCTTGGTATCAGACCTAGACGAAGACCTTTCCACATGAGAACAGAGCGTACTAGGGTAGGTCTTCAAAGACTTGGCTTTGAGTGCAGGGTACGGCTATCAAAGTTTTGTAGATGAAGTGGTAAAATTTAACCCGACCACCAAAAGCATCAATCAATCAGAATAGAGTTGGAAGGGACCTCGGAAGTCTTCTAGTCCAATCCCGTTTGAGCAGGAGAACCTGTACCCTTTCAGACAAGTGGCTGTCCAGCCTCTTCTTAAAAGCCTCCAACTTCTGGTGGCAAGCTGTTCCACTGGTTAATTCTCCTCACTGTTAGGAAGTTTCTCCTTAGTTGCAGGTTGCTTCTCTCCTTGCTTAGTTTCCATCCTTTGCTTCTTGTCCTGCCTTCGGGTGTTTTGGCGAATGGGTTGAACCTCCTCTTCTTTGGGGCAGCCCCTCAAATACTGGAATATTGCTATCATGTTCCCCCCAGTCCTTCTTTTCTCTAGACTGGCCAAACCCAAATCCTGCAACCGTTCTTCATATGTTTTAGTCTCCAGGACTTCAATCCTCTTAGTTGCTCTTCTCTGCATTTTTTTTCCAAAGTCTCAACTTCTTTTTTTTTTTTAATAACATGGTGGTGACCAAATGGAGTATTCCAGTTCTCTTTGCTATATTCCAGCATCTGTGAAGGCATCTCCTACGCTTCGATGGCACACCGTTAATGAACACCAGCGGATGCTGCCGTATAACGAGCAGCTCTTTGAAGTCATCGTAACTCATTTTGGAAAGGTTCCCGAATCCTCCCTTACAACAAATTCCTCTTTAATTACAATAAATAGCTGTCTTTTTTTTTTTTTTTTAACATTGGGTTGAAAATATCTTCCCCTCCTCCATGGTTTGGTCGCATTCCATCCTTTCTTTTCTTTTCGGTCTCTAACGGCGAGCTCATAACTCAAACAATTTGCATGGAAGCTCCCCCGAACAAACCATGTTTTATTTTGGCTGTTCACCGCCCTGAGTCCTATATTGGAGAAGGGCGGTATAGAAATTTAAACAAATAAATAAATAAATAAACCGTGCATCGCACTGCACAGGAAGGAGAGACAGTAGAGGGGAGAAGATGATTAGAAGGAATTTCTATCGTGCTTATGCTATCAGATGATCAAGATGTCCTCGGAAAGAGAACAGATCTTCAAAGCCAGAAGCCACCCATCCCACCATAACGGGCGGCTTTGGATGCGAGGAAGCCTATTTTATTTTCCCCCGTCTTCCCCACCGCGAAAACACATCTGGCACCAATCTGATGAGTTTTAAGGTGCTGCTGGGCCACTGATTTATTCATTTGGGGTTTTAAATGTTGTTTTTGGCAGTGCTGCTTTCATCTTCGGTGTTTATTTTTAACGAGACTGCCGTTATCTTCTGTGTCGGCTTAATAGCAGTCGTGGTGATGCTTCCTAACACCGCCACCATCAGATCTGGTTTCCGGTCTTCAAAGGTTCAAACATGTATTGGCCATATGCTCTAACCCAGGGGTGAAATCCAGCAGGTTCTGGAGAACCGGTAGCGGAAATTTTGAGTAGTTGGGAGAACCGGCAAATGCCACCTTCTGGCTGGCCCCAGGAGTGGGGAGGGAATGGAGATTTTGCAATATCCTTCCCCCAGGACTGGGGAGGGAATGGGGATTTTGCAGTATCCTTCCCCCAGGAGTGGGGAGGGAATGGGCATTTTGCAGGATCCTTCCCCCTGGAGTGGGGAGGGAATGGGGATTTTGCAGTATCCTTCCCCCAGGAGTGGGGAGGGAATGGGGATTTTGCAATATCCTTCCCCCAGGAGTGGGGAGGGAATGGGGATTTTGCAATATCCTTCCCCCAGGACTGGGGAGGGAATGGGGATTTTGCTGTATCTTTCCCCCAGGAGTGGGGTGGGAATGGAGATTTTGCAATATCCTTCCCCCAGGAGTGAGGAGGGAATGGGGATTTTGCAATATCCTTCCCCTGGAGTGGGGTGGGAATGGAGATTTTGTAATATTCTTCCCTTGCCACACCCACCAAGCCACGCCCACCAAGCCACGCCCACAGAACCGGTAGTAAAAAAAATTGAATTTCACCACTGCTGGAGACCCCCGCTCTAACCCTTGCTGGCCAAACATGGACACTAACCTCACAATCGGTACAAAAGCAACAAGGGGCACAAAGAGCCACGGAGAGACACAACGCGAGACAAGATAGGAAGACCCACATCTGGATTAGAGAACAAACAAAAATATACGAGGCCATCAAGAGAGGAAACGAATTGAAGTGGAAACGTGGGGGGGGGACACTGCACATAGCAAGAAGAACGAAACCGAGTTCGTTTAGTGACCGTTCGAAGTTACGACGGCACTGGAAAAATGTGACTTACGGCCGTTTGTCACACTTACGACCACTGCGACATCCCCAGGGTCACGTCGTCAAAATTCTGACACTCGGCAACTGGTTCATACTTATGACGGTTGCAGTGTTCCCGGGTCATGTTGCGACCTTTCAACAAGCAAAGTCCATGGGGGAAACTGGATTCACTTAACAACCATGTTGCTAACTTAACCATGGCCATGATTCATTTAACAACAGTGACAAGAAAGGTCGCAAAATGGGGGCAAGACTCACTTAACAAAGGTCTCGCCTAACAACCAAAATTCTGGGCTCCCTTGTGGTTTTAAGCCAAGGAATCCCTGTATTCTCTTAACGCCTGCCTCATTCATTTAACAACGGTTCACTTAAGAACCTCGGCAAAAAAAGGGTCGTAAAACTGGGCATGACTCAGTTAAGAACCGCTTCGCTTAGCAGTGGAAATTTTGCTTCCCGTCGTGGTTGTAATTCGAGGAATACCTCTCCTTGCTTTCGGTTTGCTGGGCAGCCAAAAATTCAAGGGAAACAAAATAAACGTCCATCTCCAATCGGTTCATAAATATTGTATATTTGTCTGTTGCAATTGCTCGATGCAAAGGGGAGCCCGGAATTTATGCATTCCTTTTTCAAACCAGAAAACTCGTCTTGCGATAATCGCTAACAGACCTTCCGGAATAGCTATCAGCCCATGACAGATAAACCGCACATCCCTTCAAAACAGCCGAGGATTCCAGCTGCTCCCGAAATTGTGTCCGAGGAGCACAATTTGTGTTCTGCTTTCCCTCCTGCTCTGGGCAGCTCGAATCATGCGTCTCTCAGGCGATTCATTCCCTCCAGCCACACCGGAATAGCAGACAAAGTCCTCGTTCCTAGAAGTCGAAATTTTGGTTCTAGGAAACTGCTAAAGAGAGGACCTTATGAAAACTGGGGCATTGTGCTGTAAATCTACCTTATGGAGAGACGTGGCTTAAATCCCACGGGGCCAGGCGTGAAGCTTGTTGGCTGCAGGGATGTTGACCTGTCTTTGATCACATGTTAGTCTTGTGGACTCTAAAACGAAGCCTTATTTGTTGAGTGTTAGGGTGGAAAAGGGATGGGTTAGAAATCAATAAAATAGAAGCCATGAAAACTAGGGGGAGTAAACAGACATGGACTTAAGAGGGCCTTAGACTGATTTTCCTCTTCCATAAGTTTGTTCTCCTTAGCCTTCTATGTGGTAGAACAACTAAGAAACTGTTCTGACCTAGGCTTCCTGAGTCAGTAAAACACACGAGCGCTCCCAAAAACCTCTTATTGCAACAGCTGTGAATTCTGTTCATTCACAGAGGAGTCCCAAATAGTTGTAAAGAGTCCTTCGGGATAATCACCCACCTTTCTCTCTCTTGACACGCTGCCAAAGACCTACTTGGCAAAGCCACACAGAGTCCAGAACAGAGATGCCGACTGGAAACAGAATTAACAACGTTGCTTTCCTGCAAAGGGCCCACGTGCCTTTGCTCCTCTTTTAAGCCTTATGGGAGGGGCCAATCATCTCCAAGCTTTACTCCCGAGTCATCCCTTTTGTTTTAACTGTTCTGGCCTTCTGGCAGCTCTGTGCATGCGCGCACTGGGAACAGGCTCCCCCTGTTTCTCTGCCTCGCTGAGGTCCAACTCTGGAGGCTCCGGAGGCAGCACGTACCTCCCAGATGGCCCTTTCTCTGCCTCCGACGCAGAGCCCTCAACCTTCCCCAGACTCCAGGACGGCTCATATTCCTCCCCAACCTCCTCACTATCTGACTCTGCTGCCAGCTCTGCAGGCCGCCAGCAGACCACAACAGAAACATTGCTAAAGGTGTTTATGGAGATTCTCGGTCGTCTTTGGTTGTCCCAAAGGTGTTTTTTCAAGAGGCAACTGCACTTTCTGGTTTTTCTTTGAAGACGTTTCGCTTCTCATCCAAGCAGCTTCTTCGGCTCTCTTCTAAACGTCTATGGAGATTCTCAGTCATCCAAATCATGGTTGTCCCAAAGGTTCTTTTTTCAAGAAGCTCATCCAAGAAGCTTCTTCAAGAAAAAAACCAAGGAAGACCTTTTGAAAAAAGCACCTTTGGGACAGTCCCTAAGATGCTTTTTTCCAAAAGGCAACTGGACTTTCTTGGGGTTTTCCCCCTTGAAAAGTTTTGCTTCTCATCCAAGAAGCTTCCTCAGTTCTGCTAGAGAACTGATGAAGCTTCTTGGATGAGAAGTGAAACTTTTCAAGGGGGAAAACCCCAAGAAAGTCCAGTTGCCTTTTGGAAAAAAGTGTCTTTGGGACAACCAGGACCTGGATGATGGAGAATCTCTACAGACATTTAATGAAGAGACAGGATCCACTAGAATTTAATTCCAAATTGTGATCCAGGGGCTGAAACACGTGAAGGTGGGAAATGGTTGTAAATGCCACCCAATGATATTTCTACTCGTTGCCCAGGAGAGATCTTCGCAAAAAGGACCAAACTTACGTAGATAAATAATCCAGTGCCAACTCTGACCCCGATGGCTTCTGAGGCTGGTTCTTCTCGGCCCCAAGCGTTGCTTCTCGCATTAACTTCTTTTGTGCTTTGTTACGCTCCTTCTTCAGCTTTCGTTCCAATATCCTCTTCTCCTCTGGAGAAAGTTCTTCTTCTGTCTCCTCTTCCTCTTGTTTCTTCACCTATGAACCAAGAGAACAACCTTAATCCACAGCTCATAACCCACAGGTCCATTTCATACGACCCCTTACTTATGAGAAGGAGCATCTGAACAGAGGTTAGTGAATCCTTCACCTTAAATTGACTATTGAGGCAATGGTAGGCTTTATTTATACTGGAGTTGATGGTGAATTTGGTCTGTGTTGTGACCGAGGCCCAAGTAGTGATTACCAAACACAATTCAGTCCTGAACAAACTTATTTTATTAAAACAGCTGAGAATTAATTCATTCTCAGCTTTAGTCCAAAACAAATTCTTCGGCCTTATCACCAACCTTTGATGTCTTTGGCAACCGGCCAAAGGCTTTTCTTGGCAAAAACCCCACAAAGTTCAAGAGACGCTGACAAGAAGCACTGGAATCAACGTTACTTTTCTACAAAGAACCCAACAGCTCGTTGCTGCTCTTTTAAGCCTTATGGGAGGGGCCAATCATCTCCTGGCCTTACTCCTGAGTTGTCCTTTTTGCTTCAGCTGCTCTTGCCTTCTGACAGCTCTTCCCATGTGTGCACTAGGCACAGGCTCCTCCTGTTTCTCTGCCTCTCTGCTGTCAGCCTCTGGAGGCACCGGAGTCCGCGCATCGCTCCCAGATGGCCCTGGCCCCATCTCTGCCTCCGACACAGAGCCCTCATCTGGGCCTTCCCCAGACTCTAGGACTGGCCCATTGTCCCCCCCAGCCTCTTCACTGTCTGACTCCGCTGCCAGGTCCGCAGGCTGCCCGCGGATCACAACAGTCTGTTACAGTTTTTATTTACTTATTTATTTAGCGTAATGGCCTATCAAACATGCATGCAACAAAATTTCATTTTAACGTATGCCGATTAGCGTACATTCAAAGTGACAATAAAGTTGTTCTACTCTACTCTGCTCACGGACTAGCAATCTCTGCTAACATTTCACCTTGATCAGTAAAACACAATAGAATATAAATGTGAAAAAGATCTATGTATAAATTCCAATATCTAGGCCCATCTAACCATTTGTTTATATTTTAAAAAATCACATAGGTTTTCCTGGCTCTCAAAATACATGGCAAAGAAAACAAACAAACAAACAAACAAAACCCTGGACCTTTTCGGGCCCAAAAGATGAGAGATCGGGAATATTATTTCGAATTTGCAGTTTTACATAGCGAGACCATCGCTGATGCATTTTGGGGAGGAAAAAAAATAAGAGAAGAATTACAGAAACGGATATAAAGAAAGCTTATGTTACAGAGACACTGGAATCACGCTGTGATTTTAGATTGGTAAAACTGGAGCTTGATCAATTGTGGGTTCTGTGCGCTGAATATTCATTAAAATGAGTTAAGCAGATATCCTGGAAGGAGGGAGAAACGGTTGGCTTCAAGTCTGTTACAATGGAAACACAAGAGAAATGCCAGTTTCCTGGACTCTCCGATAAATGTTTTAAAAAGCGAGGCTGATTATCCTTCCTTTGTTGGGGATTTAATAAATCTGAAGTCCCTTTAACAACACATGATACACACTCATGGATAATTCCTTTTTCAAAAATTATTTATGGGGAAAGGTCAGGAGAGAAAGTTAAAGTTTGTGGTAATGTGGTATTTATTTCTCTATGGGAATCACTGGATTTAGCTTCGGAGGAGGAGGAGGAGCAGGATAGGTAAATAAATAGGAGGGAGGAGGAGGAGAAGAGAAGAAGTAGAAGAAGAAAAAGAAAAAAGAAGACGAAGAAGAAGAAAAGAAAAAGAAGAGGAGGAGGAGAAGAAAAGAAAAAGAAGAGGAGGAGGAGAAGAAGAGGAGGAGAAGAAGAGGAGAAAAAGAGGAGGAGAAGAGGAGGAAGAGGAGGAGGAGAAAGAAGAAGAAGAAGAAGAAGAAGAAGAAGAAGAAGAAGAAGAAGAAGAAGAAGAAGAAGAAGAAGAGGAGGAGGAGGAGGAGGAGGAGGAGGAGGAGGAGGAGGAGGAAGAGGAAGAAGAAAGAATTGGATGGGATGATTCAGCTCAGTTATGCAATTCTGAAGCCTAGCAATGTTGCCCCATCTGAACATCTGCAGAAGTTCCCCTCCTGTTGTCCCCAGGAGGAGGCCAAGCCAAGAGCTGGGGACGTGCCCCGTCTAGCCGGCTCTTTTGCCTGAATTTCAAACCCAACTCTCCCTGCTTTCATTCAGCACACGGCTCTCGGATCCGAGCATCCGGGTTTGAATAGAGGTGGGGGCACACTACGTGCTTGGCTGCTCCTGGTGGCGCAACCGCCTGGTGGCTTCTCACCCTGGATCCTACGTGGGGCGACCACCAGGAGTTGCGTGGCCTCGAACCTTTGGAGAGGCACTTCCAAGGATGGGGGCGGAGGGGTTGAGAGCTTAGGAGGCTTTCAAGGTTTGGAAAAGCAGCCAAGGCAGGAGGGTTCTTGGAGCCCTGGGATGGAGAAGGGAAGAGGAATGCCACCTCTCCTGCCAAGGAGAGAAGGAGGACCACAGGGAGGCGGCTGCCTGCCAAAGTGCTCGGCACTGTGACTGAGCTGGTTTCTTTAATGAAAGCCAGTATTTCTTCAGAGAGCTGACCCAGCCTCCCTCCAGTGACTGAAATCAATAGAAACAGTCGGGCGAGGGGCCCGGGTGGGGGCAGGACACCCCCCCACCCTACTCTCCATTCTCCACCAGTTTTCCCTTGGCTTGGCTTCCCACTTTCTCCTCTCCCGGAAAAGTTGAATCTCCGATAAACTATGAGCTGCAAAGATTTTCTCTCCCCCACCTCTGGGTTTTTTTCCCCCCTACCCCCCTCTTCTCGACATTTTCTTTTCGCTTGACTGAAGGTTTGGTAAGAGGAACGGCCTTGCTGAACTTCCCATTCGGCAAAACTCCCTTCCTTCTTCTCCTTTTTTTTTTTGTGTGTGTGTCAATGAAAGAATTGTTTTGGAACCAGGAACCTGCCCAAGCGGAGACCTCTCCGGATGCCTTCCTGACCTGATCTTACTCTTTGGGAGCAAGCTTAAAAAGAAAAAAAAATTAAATCAATAAAAAGAAAAGGGTTGGGGAGGGAAGGAGGAAATGAAATCCGGTTTAGAGCTGGGGAGGAAGGAAGAAAAACCCAAAACAAAACAGAAACCCCTATTGAAGAGATGAAGGAAGGGAGATGTGGGATTTTATTGCCTGGAAAGAATTCGCAGTGGCTGATGTGCTGAATGCTAAAATGGCTGCAGAAATGCACTGGAGGAGCTGATCCGGCCCCAAATGCAGAGCAAGAAAACCATCCGGTGTTAAAAGTTCAGTCCCTGTTCCTGGTAAGTCCCTTCATATATATTTTATTTTAACTTGGGGGGTCAACGCCGGAAATCAAACAGCTCGTCGCTTTAATTGTTAACTAACCCCAAAATGCTTTCAATGTGCCTTCTGTTTTTTTCATTCTTTATAAAGACTGAGAGTGTAAATAAAGTAGGATTTTTACGGAGGGTTTGGCCAAGAGAGCTGTCATCGGAAGGAAGGGCCAAGTATGCGAGGAACGCCTGAGGGGAATCGATCTCTTTATCCGTCCTGTTAAGGTTTAACTTGCGTTATTGACAAGCGCTCGGCCGAAGGAAGCCTTGGCTCTGCCTGATGTGGTGTTTTCATTGGGGAACATTATGGAGGCCCCGTGGCGAGAGAAGTGCAAGGTTGCTGTGAGGATGGAGCATGGGGGTTTTCGATGCGCGTTATAGAACCCTTACCTGGAGTAGCCGCTATCCGGGGCATCTTGCTTTTAAATAGAATAACTGGACGAACGTTTGGGTGAAATGGTATGGGGCTTCCCGCTTGAGCTGGGGGCTGGACTAGAAGACCTCCAAGGTCCCTTACAAGTCTGTTATTCTGAACAGAATAACACTTCTGCTCACCACACTTTTGAGACTTTTGAAAAGCTGAGCAAAAGAACACGGTGTAGCAAGGCAGGACAAATTTAATGTGGGACAAGTTTAATGAAAAGAAGGACTCCTGGTGACAGGGTAACAGTATTCCAGTATTTGAGGGGCTGCCACAAAGAAGAGGGGGGGGGGAGGTGGTCGACATTCTCCAAAGCACCAGAGGGCAGGACAGGAAACAATGGAGGGAAACTAATCAAGGAGAGAAGCAACCTGGAACTAGGGAGAAATTTCCTGACCGTGAGAACGATTAATCAAACTTGCCTCCAGAAGTTATGGGTGCTCCATCACTGAATGTTTTCAAAAAGAGACTGGGCAATTATTTGTCTGGAATGAGGTAGGGTCTCCTGCTCGGGCAGGGGCTGGACTAGAAGACCTCCGAGGTCCCTTCTAACTCCCTTATTCTGTTATGCCACCTTTTCTCTCTCTATACAACTGTGTCATCCAGCCAAATAATGTTCTTGCAGTAAGGATAAATCAGCATCTTAGGTGCGAGCGATCAATGGAAAGATTTTCAAGGCCTTTCAACTCTTCCTCCGGCTCTCCAGACTTTTTTTGGGGGGGGGGAGGCTTCGGAAGTTTTGTGGATAAATCTTGCCGCGCTTAAAGCAAAGGAATGAAAGGCAGACGGAGCTGGAGGGCAAATTCAGAAATGCTCGGCTGGAGGACGAAGTTCTCATACCAGCCACCGTGATATTTTTCGCATGGCTGGAAATCTAGCTGACCGTAACATTTGCAGGGCTCAGAACACGAGCGTCCTCGTTTTACTATCATTCAGTGGCCGCTCGAAGTTACCAGCGCCCCTGGGGAAAAGCGACTTATGACTTGTTTTTCACACTTATGACCATTGCAGCACCCCCAGGGTCACGTGATCCAAATTCAGACATTCAGACAACTAACTCATATTTATGACAATTGGCAATGTCCCAATTGGCACCTTTGTTATAGGACTCTCTGTTTCAAGCTGAACCTATTTCTGTTTCGCTGAAGAGGCTTCCTGCATACAGCCTCTAACATGACTTCCCTTGAGTGGAGATCAACGCCAAGAGATGGCCGGTTCCTTGGGATTAGCTTCTTCTTCTTCTTCTTGGGCCATATCCGTTATCGGACGTTGGCGATCATGTTGGCCATCCTATTTTTGTCAACAGCCGCATGGAAAAGTGTGGTTGAGTTTTGTCCAAAGCGGTCCCTTAGATATTGAAGCCATGAATTTCTTCTTCTGCCTGGACCTCCTTTGCCTTCCATCTTTCCCTGGAGGATTAAGTGAAGGATGCTGTATTTTTCCGGGTGTCGCATCCCATGTCCAAAATATTCTAAGTTTCGCTTTTTAATGGTTTTGATGATTTCCCTTGGCTTTTCCCAGGCGGCTTATCACCTCCTCCTTTCTGATTTTGTTAACCCAGCTTATACGTAACAGTCGCCTGTAAATCCACATTTCAAACGCTTCTAGTCTCTTCAAGTGGCTTTCTGTCTGAGACCAACCCTCCACTCCGTAGAGTAGGATAGAAAAGTAACATCTGACAAGCCTGATTTTTCAATCTTAGGCTTATGTCGTGACTGCAGAAGACGTTTTGCATTCTGAAGAATGCTGTTTGAGCTTTCTCTATCCTTGTCTTTACTTCAGCTTGGGTTTAGCATAGTTAGCCAAACATGATTTGTACCATCTTATAAATAGTTCCAGAAGGTGCAGGAGCAGCTGTTGGGTGTCCAAGGGTCGGAGTGGGCACTGCGTAGGGGGCCCGGAACATTTGTGCACAAACATGTCTGAGCATTGGGGCTGGAGGAAAGGTCATCCGTCATCCTCCAGTCAAGAGGTGGGGAAGGAACTGAAGAACGAGCATTTTGGTATCTCTCACTGAAGTGTATTCAAGATTGCTCTTCCAGAGGACAAAAATAAACATTTGCCGCCTTAAAATGCTATGAAAGTATCTGCATCGTTTAGAAGATTCATAATCTATATCATTAAGGAAAGTTTAATTTGGGCCTAGAATATCTGACGGGGCTTCATCCCTCCTTAGTAGCAAAATCTCTTTCTCCTAGGACAGGGGGTCTGCAACCTTAAGCACTCAAAGAGCCATTTGGACCCGTTTCCCACAGAAAAGAAAACACCGGGAGCCACAAAATCTCGGTGGGTGTGGTCAACTTGACGTCACTCACTCCCACCCAGTCACATGACACCTCCCAGCCATGCCTACCCAGGTTTTGTGGCTCCCAGTGTTTTCTGTGGGAAACAGGTATCTCTCTCTCTGCGTCTGTCTCTCTGTCTCTGTCTCTGTCTCTGATCTCTTTCAGTCCAGGCGAGGAGTGACTGGAAGGGGAGGGTGAGGGGTGGGGCCAGCCAGTGGTAGGTTCAGCCAATAGGGAGCCACAGCAGGAGGACAAAAGAGCCGCATGTGGCTCTGGAGCAGCAGGTTGCCGACACCCGTCCTAGAAGAACATTGGTGCATTGGGACATATTTATAGCTATGATTCTGTCTTCTGGCTGGTTTCTAGGTAGCTCATGGATAGGACAACTACTCTCCATGCAGAAGGAACCAGGTTCAACCCTTTCAGCATCTTTAGATGGGCTTGAGGGAATGATTCTTGCAGGACCTCCGCTGGTCTGGGTGGACAAGACTAAGCTAATTGGTCAATGCCTGTTTGCCTCCTTGACCTTGAATATCTAGGCAGCTTTGGACTTCCCAACCTGCCCACATATTTTGTCCAGTCATTCAGGCTGAGACCTTCCATCTTCTCCGGCTGCTTAAAGTCTGCCCATGTGTTTCTATTGGAACCAGGCTCTCAAGTTTTAGATGATACGCCTCTAGTGTTCACGGAACAACGAGGGAGTATTTGCCAAACATTGTCAAGTAATGTTAGCCAATCCACATTTCTCTTTAACCAAGGATGAAGTTCTCTCTTCTGTCTGGCGCTGACCTTAAGTTCTAAATCGGGGCTCTCCAAACTTGGTAAATTTAAGACTTGTGGACTTCGACTCCCAGAATTCCCCAGCCAGCATGGCTGGCTGGGGAATTCTGGGAGTAGAAGTCCGCAATAAGACTTGTTGCCAAGTCAGAAGGTGCCAAGTTAGGAGACCCTTATTCTAAATCATTCTTCTGAATCTGCAGCCTGATTCAACCAGGACACTGCATACTACTAACTATTCATGGTCCTTCAGTAGAGAAACAATTTCCGCATCTCCCTGAACGCTTTTAATTTCACTCATGGATTCCCAACACATATTAATGTCTTAAAACACTTTTTAGCGGGGTGGGGGGTGGGGTGGAAATGGCCAGGTCTTCTAGTTGACCAAGTCTTGTTTCTCCAAGACTGCAATCCCAGGCTTGATTAGAAAGACATCCTTTGTGATCAACAGATCTTACGTCTTTATGTGTGGTTTAGACTTTCAGAAAAGAATAGTAGAAAAAGTGTGGCTTTACTCAAATTAAATAGATATTCTGCCAAAGAAGCTGTGAATACATTTCTGATCAGAAGGAAAGGCTTGGTTAGAGGGTACATCTAGATTCATTTACTAGTCACGGCAGACACATATGCTATTCTCAACTGAACAAAAATTAAGTTGTAAACCTTGGATCATGGGTGTTTGCTCTCCTGCGGTTTTCCAGACAGCGGTGGGCTGGGAAGGCTTGGTACCAGTAGGGTGGCCTCCAAATATTTTGGAAAATACTGTATCCTGTCCAAGACATTTGGCCAATATTTAATTTCCAAAGAGAGCTGTGTGAACTCTAGTTTGTCCCAAGGAACCTTAAAAAGTAATGTTATGCTGAGGATTCTGGAAACATTCAAAGACTTGAATTTCAAAGAGTCTTGGTGGAAATATCTTCTCAAGGCCATGGCAGTTAGAGTTACCGAAATAAACTTTTATTAGCTACAGAGAAATGCTTGATTCGCACTGCAGTAGCTACATAAAAGCTACATACTGCAGAAAAAACAATGGCTACCAGCCTGCCTTCCATTGAGGACCTGCATACTGCACGAGTCAAAAAGAGGGCTGTGAAAATATCTACAGACCCCTCGCATCCTGGACATAAATTGTTTCAACTCTTACCCTCAAAATGAGGCTATAAAGCACTGCACACCAGAACAACTAGACACAAGGACAGTTTTTTCCCGAATGCCATCACTCTGCTTAACAACTAATTCCCACAACACTGTCAAACTATTCACTAAGTCTGCATTACTAGTAATCCTCTCATTGTTCCTATCACCCATCGCCTCCCACTTATGACTGTATGACTGTAACCTTGTTGCTGGTATCCTTAAGATTTATATTGACTGTTTCCTTATGACTATCATTAAGTGTCGTACCTTATGATTCTTGACGAATGTATCTTTTCTTTTATGTACACTGAGAGCTTATGCACCAAAGACAAATTCCTTGTGTGTCC